GACGCGCCGTCGTCGACCACGAGTCTCCGAACTGGTTCGGGTCCCATTCCATCAATCAGTCACTTGTCCCCAGGAGTCAACTGTCAATTCATCACAATCACCCCCTCAGGGAGAATCCACAGCGCCAACTATCGGGCTTCACTCACCGATCCTCGCCTCTCGCAGCAGCTACTCGCCTGTGTCGTCACTCGCCTCCGGTGTCAGCACAGCTACGTCGCAATGTCTTCCGGTGCGTCCACTCCTCTGCGTGGTTGGATCCTCTTCGTTGCTAACTCACGTCTTCCGTAGATAACGGCGCTTTCGTCGACCTCACATCCTCGCCCTACTCTTCTCCACACTCTGCCGCGCGTGACGGCCCAGTCACCATGTCGACTGTCGAGTTGGCTGGTCCTTCGCTGGATCTTGCTGGAGCGCGGGCCTCGTTGAGTGCGTTTCAACAGCCATCGACCAGACCGAGGCACTGCGCGAGCTTCGTTCGGATCACGAGGTTTTGCGTGGCGAGTTCTTGGCTACACGAGGTCGCGCGGAGGATCTGGATCATCAGCTCGCTGCCGCGGCCAATGCCGCGTCGCCCTTCGTGCTCTTTAGCCAGCCCAAGTATGAAGTGGTCCATCACTAGCTGGACTCTACTCGGAAGGAGTTCGCCGAGTGCCTGAACGCACTGCAGGAGCGTCTCGATAACTACCGCGAGCTCGAAGCTTGCCGCCTTCGGTATCACGACTTGCAGCTCCGCTACCGCGAAGCAGTGTCGGAGTTTCAGGATCGGATCTCTACTTTGGAGGCGCAGCTGGTAACCGCTTCTTTCTTTGGCGTGATTGTCCCGCCTGACACAGCTCGTCGCATAGCGGATCTGGAGTCCCAGCTCGAGCGGTCCCAATATGACTTGAAAGTCGAGCGTGATCGCCAGTCATCTCTCGCTTCGGAGCATCGTGAATCGGCTACGTCTCACAAGGCTGCTCAAGCGGAAGTAAATCGCCTCAAGGCCGCGATCGAGCGCAAGCCTCGTCGCTTCCGCACCTTGCGCGATAACTATGAGCGTCGCTTGAAGGTTGCCGACAACACGATCGCCACACATTCCGCTGAGCTTGATCGATTGCAGGATCAGGTATCGACAGTGGATCGGGATCTCCTCCAGGTTTCCCCAACGTGTCCTCGCTGCGATCAGGCAAAGGCAGAGCGTATCGCCACCCGTGAGTACTATCGGTAAACCTTCGTCAGCGTCGTACTAATTCATATCTTGTGTCACAGAGGATCGTGTTTCAGCGGCTCGAGATACAATTGCCCGGCTGGAAAAGCGAATTAACCAAATCGAGAAATATCAGAAGTCGCGTCAGGATCTCGAGTTCGCGCTCGCAGCGCTTCAGCAGGAGAGAGGCGGTCTAGTAGTCCAAAGAGATGAATTGCTCGGCCAGCTTCGTGAGCTTTTCATGGAGGTCACCGATCTACGGGCTGAGCGGGACCAGGCGGAAGAGAGATTGTCCAGCATCACGTCTCTTCTCCCTTCTACTTTGGGCCACAAACGAGCACGCTCCCAGTCCGATTTCCGGCCCAGTCTGCTCGCGTCTCCAAGGTCGCTCGATCGACTTCAGGTCCCTTCACGGGTGGCGCGCTGAGTCAGGGTCCTGCGTCTACAGCGTCGATCGAAGTATTGTCAGCTATGGCTGCCAGCCAGAAGTCAGAGAGGCTGGCATCATCTCCTCCGTTCACTGGCCCTCCTGATCATATTTCTCGATCTGCTCGATCGACCGCCAAGGGTGGCCGCGCGGTGCTTCGTCTTCGCCTGCAGTTTCCGATGTGGGCGCGCATTCCGACGGTGGCGAGAGCTCTTCCGGCAAATCCAGTTCTACTCGCGTCTTCGACTCGGACGTCGTGGGAAGCGACAGTGGTTCTCCGGAGTTGAGACGCGCTAAGGACCCGTTTGGAATGCCGCTCGGCCTCTATCGGACGCTGAGCTAGCGGATCTATCGCCTACCACGGTTCCCCGATCGGAGTGGATCCCCGGTTTTCGGGACCGTCGTAGCTACCGCAGTCGTGATACCGTCCCCTGATCTGCGCAGGATATTCGTTAGACAAGCGTCGTGGAGATGGACGCGGGTCTGCTGTTTCATCACTTCACCAAGCCGATGGAATGGCTAATCCCTCTCCGCGATCCCGTACCTCAGCCTGGAGAATGGCGAGACGATTTGGTGGACGAGAGCAACGTGCGCGAGTTTGTTTCGTGGGAGATCCGTGCCGCCCCGATGGACCCTCTTACGTTCAATGGTCGGGGTTGGTTCCGGGACATGATGCGACTTTACGCTCTTACGAGGATGAGCAACTTCGGGCTTATTGGGACTCTACCCACGCCTTTCCGGTGAGTATAGCCTAGCGCCGCGCCAGTCGGTACTTGGATACGTTCTATACTGATTGCAAGCAGCGTTGATCCAGAGGAGGGGGCCGGTGGAAACCGTTCCTTCAACAGGTGCTGATCGGCTTGCTCCTGGGTTACTGCGACCTCGACTTGTTGCTGGATCCCTTTTTTCTGCATTTCCCTCGACCTGGCGAAGCAGGTGCCTGGTACCCTGGGATCGAGGACAGATCCGACCCCGCAGATCTACTGGAGACGTTGGCCATTACCGATGCGGCCGATCGCTGGCGCAACCACTATCGCGACGGGCCAAAGGACCATCCAGCGCTTGGGATCGCTCGTTTGTCTGGGAAGTTTGTGTCCTCCTCTTCCTGCCGTTAAGTGTTGGCTAGCGGCACGTAGGTTTCAGCGCTCGTCAAGAAGGTTCCGTCCGATCTAAACCGACTTAATCCATGCGTATCTTCTCTTATTCTTCCGGAATTTTTGAGGGTGTATTGCCTAGATTTTCCGGCCTATTCAGGCTCACGGCACTCCATATGGACCACCATCCTCCTTGAAATCTGCCGTCTTCCTGCAGATCCTTCTTCCTCTCAATTCTCCACGGTGGCCAACCCTCCGCAGAATTTCCACCATTTACTCCTCATGTGACTGCATCGCCTCAAACCGGTTACGATCTGTACGTCCCCGGTCAAAGTCTCTTAGCAACGCTCCACAGTTGAGATCAGTCTCATCGACCCATGACGGCTCGGCGTAGCCCTACCAGAAGACCAGGTATTCACGTCGTGTACGGCCGTATCGAGTCTTGTTGCTCGAGCGCACATCTGCAATCCGTTCCATCTCGTACTCGTCCTCTTCAAGCTCGCGTTCCCAGCTGGTTTCGGGCAGCAAGCCTTCGTCGAAGTCTACTCGATCTGCTCTGGCGCGGTTCGTCAGCGTGGATGTTGGGCGCTCTGGGTAGCTCTTCACCGGCTTCAGCTTTGACACATGGACAATCGGAAATAGTCGGTACTCTGTGCCGGCGGTCTCCAGACGCACTGCGTGTCGATCGACTGTTTCCGCGACCCTGAAAGGCGCATGCCACATATGCGCAAGTTTGCAAGCGTAACCTTCCTTAACTCGATCTAGAAATAGCCAAACTCGATCTCCTGCCTTTATGTCATGCGAGCTCACATCTTCGCTGTGCTGATCTGCTCTTTCTTCGATCGCGTCGCGCAGCGCCTCGTTGACTAGCTTGCGTGTCTGCTGGTACTGTCGCTGGACGTTCGACGTGGTTCCACGTCCCGGCGGCGAGTGCTCCCAAACGGCAGTGTCGCTTCTAACGTTGATCGAGCGTCCCATCCATGGACCAAATAGAACGGCGTGTCGCCTCGAATACGGTCGTACGCCGTGTTGATGGCGAACGTCAGATGTTCCGCGAACTCGCCCCAGTCCTTCTGATTTATATCTGCGACATACATCTTCAGGGCTCTAGTCAGAGTCTGAACCATCCGTTCTGCC